AGTCGGTCTAGACTGTGGCAACTGGCCAACTTAGTATCCACGCGCAGGGAAGCTAAGGATGCAATACCTAGGTAACTTGGCTAGTGAGCTTGTAGAACCGATAGCGGAATGAGCCTGCGCCTTAAAGTGGAGCTGAGGAGCTACGCCTGCACTGCCATTGGAGGCGGGCAGTGTAGGTGGATCGCAGTCCTGAGTGCGTAGAGGTACGCGCGGTAAGGTGAGCGGCTTGAGGTTGCAACCGTCACTAGAGTTAGTCCCAAAGGTTGGGCGCACTAGGGAGAGGCCTCTCAACCCTACTACTATGCGGGCTGGCCACCCGATGAGGTAGCATTAGGGTAGGTGTTAAAAGAGAGTAGGAGGCACGGCTTACGGCCACTACATCTCGCCGGAGTGGGTTCGCTTGCTCGACGACGGCTTAACGCTTATTGGAAAAGCGTTAACCATAGCCGTTGGGAAGACACCCTTCCCCCCTAGAGGTGACTACAAGCAAGTTAGTCCAACCACGTATGCGATAGTTCAATCCCAACGTGTACGAACATCAAGGAGTCAACATAAACCAATGTACTACAACATTACTACAGCCTGGAAACAGGAAGGACTACTACAACCCGGTTGGGCAGAAAAAGAAGGAGGAAGAAATAACCTGAAATGCAACGGATCAAATGTAAGCATATCGCATATAGCCGTTCACAAAAACCAAAAACCATCACACTGACAGTTACTCTCTATTACAGCAAAACTATTCGTAATAGCAATATTCGCATAACATTCCATCGGAACTTCTTCACGTACATATTACTGACCGCCTCATAAGCGAAGGTTGAGTGCACTTTAGTTCTAACTTATTTTCATTATTCCAGTCATCATAATACAATATAATACTACACTTCTCGCACAACTTGCATCATGCAACCAGTGTCGTCGTTGTTGCGTAACCGCTTACGCTCCATCAGCACGCCATTGTATAAGTCCTTCCAGGTTATTCCCCGAATTTAGAATTCGATGGATAACCTGAAAGACAAATGGCGTCGTGCTGAGGAACACGTGAGCAAAGCCAACGAAGACGAGACACAATTCGCCTTACTCCAGCAATTTAGCGATCACTGGGAGAACATCGAAGCAGATAACGCGATGATAAAGGGAAAAACGCTAGTAAGGTCACTAGAAAAACTACTACAAGACCTAGAACGCGTTCCCCCACGTCGCCCAGGGATCGACATTAATACAGGTAATACAACCCCTATCACAGAACAATATGTTCACATACCCAAACTAGAGCTTCCCGATTTCTATGGAGAACCTAGCGCATTCCCCGAGTTCTGGGAACTTTATCTAGCCGCAATTCATAATAATACAAGCGTGCCAACCGCGATG